GCTCATCTAGACTTGCCAACCTCGGCTGAAACTAATTCTAGAGATTCCCTCCCACACAAAATGTGTGACACACCTGTATATGTCTTCTTACGTGTCTGCGTATATTATTTATCTGTCAGAAGCCATAATCCAAGACAGGATAGGGTCAGAATGCAAATGTATGTTTATATTAAATGAATTAGTAAATATGAATTAAAATTATTTACCTGTAGCATAAGGTACCCCCTTTATAAGGGTACTGTCTCTGTCTGCATATACCATTCTCTCTCATGCAGAAATCTATGCATAACACAAGCATATACCTGTCTCCCTCCAGCAAAACAAAACAAAAACACAAAAATGCAGGTGGCAATCATGGGACAAGACGTATTCTAGCAACCCCACCCACTTCAGGCCCTGCAGGCCCCTTCAGAACCATACTGCTTTCCTCTGTAGGCAGCACTGACCTGCTTTACCCTAATTATTGGCAAAGGCTGAATAGAGGCCTCCCTGTTTATCATTTATTTGTTGGAACACCTTAGGGATGGGGGCTGGTTCAGCACTGCATAATTCTAGTTTAGAAAAATAGTTCATCTTACCACTGCTCATTGAAAAACCAAGAAATTTGGTCAGGATTCTGGAGAAGATTTCCTCCCTTTTAATCCTTAATAAGCTAAGTTTATAAAGAATGTGCTGGAAAGGGTAGAAGGAAAGAGAAGAAGAGGATTACCAGCAGCAAAGGGGATGGACTCAGTTACAATGGCAATGGGTGCACTGTTGGAAGACCTGAAGGTCCAAGTAAGGGATGGATCATAATGGAGATAATCTATCCAGGTGGTTGCTAAGAGTTGACATTGCACATACTTAACGGCACATACTTAATAACTAACTAAAGACAACTCACATTTAGTTATTTTATGTATACATTTATAGCTTCTTCAATAAGTGAAGGCTTCAAGTGATGTTTTCAGCAGTCAATGGAGAGGTGCTGAGATCAACAATACTGGAGGGCCACAGGTTATGATACGGTCAGATCAAAGATCTGTTACACTACATCTTACCTAATTTATGCACATGCCAAAGAGAACTTTGTTTCTTGTTTGTAAATAACAGCTGGGGAGATGTCTCTTCAGTCAAGCAGTTTTAAGGCCTGGAGTGTTGTGAGAATTGACATTAGCTAGGGATTGAGCAGGGGTTACCAACTTGCTGGGTTAGTTGGAAAGGGTTAATTAGGGTGGCTACTTGCGCAGATGGTACAGGTGACCTGACTAGGCATTAAGAAGTGTCCTGCTTGCACATGGTGCCTAATGCTGATTTAATGGGTGATGGGATGGAGCATAATAGGAAGGATAGAGGGATGGGGCCAGGGTTAATTGTTATGGGGAGGGGTCAACTTAAGAATATGACAGACAGGGAGGGCTATGGCAGGGATGATGCACAGGCCATTACAGGAGGAGGATATGCATATAGATACAGGTCTCCTCTTTTAAACTAGCTGCCCCTGACCTGAGCCCAAGTGGCTGAAATGTTGGGTGATTTGGTCTTCAGCTTCTGTTGGGAAATGCCAGGTCTGTGCAAAATAAGACCAAGTCCATCTCTGATATGGTAATGGACAGACATACACGTGTTACTGAGACTGGCTAGGCAATTATGGTAATACAGCTGTCAGAAGTTTGCCCAGCTGGATTACAGGTCCTACAGAACCTTGATACTAAGGCTGGAGAGGGACACATGGCTGTGATTGTTCATGAAATTCTCAGTGACCAGATGGCTGCCCCAGAGGTGACTGACTGCAAGTGCCCATTCGTGGGAGTGAACTATTCCTGGTGTACCAACTGCCTAGCAGAGCCCTCCATAAACTTCTGGAACCCATCTCAGGGCTGATGGTGGAATTCCCAAGGCATTTGATCATGGATGACTTCTACCTCCATGCCCTACACCAGGGGTCCAGTGTAGATTGTGAATGCATGGGCTTATCACAAGTAACTGTGGCTCTGACAAATGTTGGTGGCACATGCCTGATTTGGTTTTCACTTCAGAGCAGATAACACATGATTTAAAAATGGTCTTGCTGTGGTCTGCCCTTTGCTGTGTCAGATTACTTCCTTGTCAAACTGTGGATCATGGTGGGCAAGGACCTCTTAAAGGTCCAGGCTAGGTGCCTGCTTGATCAGGAAGGTTTCCAGCGCATGCTTGGGGAGTCAAGTGAACAGCTTGACAACTTAGAGGGCAGTTCAATCTTGCACTTTGTCAATCTGTGGAACATGGAGACAGCCAGAGCACTGGATGAGATGGGTTCTCTGGTTTATTGAGGAGCTAAGGGAAATGATGTCTGAAAAGACACCTAGAGCAATAGTAACCAAAAAAAAAAAAAAAAAAGTGTAGGACTGCAAAACTCATCAAGGGGAAAGGGCCACCCTAATAAATTAAAACTCTTCACAGGCCACAAAGAAATATCTAGAGTACCAACCAGCTGTTCAATGGCTAGCAGAGTGGCAGAAATGATGGAGCTGGTGGCAGAGACAAGACTC